GCTAACCTAACAGCTGCGCTAACAGCTGTGCTAACCTAACAGCTGCTTACCTAACAACCGCGCTAACCTAACAGCTGTGCTAACAGCTGTGCTAACAGCTGCGCTAACAGCTGTGCTAACAGCTGTGCTAACAGCTGCACTAACATCTGTGCTAACGTCACCTCATTGTGTTGTTTAACCAAACCTCAGCTGACATCAGACATGTGACCTGACTCCTGCAGACGTCTTCAGATTGAAGGAAACCTTGAATTTAAACAACAGAATCTTTCCTGGTGTTTGTTGTTTTTCTCTTTCAGCTCATAAAATGTGAACCCTAATCTAATCCTGTGTTTATTAGTCTTTACAACAGCCGAAGGCTCCTGCTTTTCTGTTGGGACACTTTTCTTGGAAACTCGTTTTTCAGAACGGCCCAATAACAGTTTCAAAGTATTTTCTTTCTTCTCAGGAGTGTGTGAATTGTCTCTGATAAAGAACGCCTCATAAAACCTTCTGAGAACCTTTTTATTTTCTGTTCTGAAGGATGTTTGCTGCAGAATCAGGACTTAATAAACTCAGTTTTATTACATCCTGATAAAACTGAACTGGACTTCCTGGAAGGAAAAACTCTAAAATAAATAATATAGTTTAAATGTAGCTGATTATGAGTAAAATAAARGTTTATTTATGTAAAATAAATAATATTTTCAGAGAACAACCTCATAATTATAAAAGAACAATAGATTAGCCTATAGCTACATAATGAAGCAAGAGGCTAGCTAACAGTTGCAATGTGCTAGCTAGAACCTAAAATCCTTTTAAAAAGTTTAGCTATAAGCTAAAGGTAGCAAAAAGCTAAAGGTAGCAGTAGCTAAAAGTTTTAAACAGTGAGCTAGAACCTAAAAGCAGCAAAAAGTTACTTAAAACATAAAATTAGAAAAAAAAATTAGTTAAAAGCTAAAAGTAGCAAAAAGTAACAGGTAGTGCACTGGTTGCTATTTTTTCTTAAATGCTAGCTAGAACCTTAAATCAGTGAAAAGGTTGGCTATAATCACCAAAAAGCTAAAGGCAGCAGAACAGTAGCTAAAAGTTTAAAGAAGATCTAGAATGTATAAGCAGCAACACCCTAGCTGGAAGCTAAGTAGCAAAAGAAGAACTAAATGCTAAAAGTTGTGAAACAAAAGCTAAATGAAGCAATAGGCTAGCTAAAAGTTGCAAAATGCTAGCTAGAACCTAAAATTGTTAAAAAAAGTTTAGCAATAAGCTAAAAGTAGCAAAAAGCTAAAGGTAGCAAAATAGTAGCTAAAATTTTTAAACAGTGAGCTAGAACCTAAAAGCAGCAAAAAGTTATTTAAAAGATAAAATTAGAAAAGAAGTTTAGCTAAAAGCTAAAAGTAGCTAAAAGCTAAAAGTAGTGGAATGGAAACTAAAACTTTTTAAATGTTAGCTAGAACTTAAAATCATCAAAAAGGTTGGCTATAAGCTAAAGCTAGAAAAATAGCAGCAACACCCTAGCTGGAAGCTAAGTAGCAAAAGAAGAACTAAATGCTAAAAGTTGTGAAACAAAAGCTAAATGAAGCAATAGGCTAGCTAAAAGTTGCAAAATGCTAGCTAGAACCTAAAGCTAAAAGTAGCAAAAAGCTAAAGGTACCAGAATAGTAGCTAAAAGTTTTAAACAGTGAGCTAGAACCTAAAATCATTAAAAAAAGTTTAGCAATAAGCTAAAAGTAGCAAAAAGCTAAAGGTACCAGAATAGTAGCTAAAGGTTTTAAACAGTGAGCTAGAACC